AAGGCCGGCTCAGTCGCGGGGGTAAGGAAGGGGGGTGGGGGGGGCAATGCTCCCTCTAAGCTATGGAGTCTTGTGAGCAAAAATTCTACTTTGTGAGCTACTGGCATTAAAGTTGTGAGGGAGTGATTGGACTACTGCATAAATCAGTTTGCTCTGGAGCCCTCCCTTCCTGAGCCAAGACAAAAATGTGTGAGCTGGAGGCTAAAAAACTGTGAGCTGGCTCACACTAACTCAGCTTAGAGGGAACATTGGACTGGGGGGTGTTGGGGTGTGTGTGCAGCACCGGCCTCCTCCCCCCCTCCCTGCTTGATGGTGTGTTGTGGGCGTGCGCGTTCGTTTTGAGGACTGGTTACTCGTGGGGCGTGGGGGTTAGGAGCGCTGTCCTCGGAGCAAAGTTCGAATCCCCCCCCTCAGGTGAGCCTTCCTCGCAGGGTTGTTGTGAAGAAAAGGCAGAGCGGCGCTACGTAAGAAAGAAACACTTATAATATGCATTGAGCTTTATAACAACAAATGCACTGCTTTGAGGACATTAGAAGAGGGTGGTGTAGTGGCTGGACCAGGAGCTGAGAGGCCCAGGTTTGACTCCCCAGGCTGCCATGGAAACTTGGCGGGGGACCTTGGGCCAGTCACACACCCTCCCCTAACCTACCTCACAGGGTTGTTGTAAGGAAAGTGGAAGAGAGGACAATGATGTAACCTGCTTTGGGGACAACAAAGGTGGGTTTAGATGAGATTTTTTTAAAAAATATGGGGCAGTGGGAGTTGACAATTGCACCTAACCTCTCTGGGGAGACTGGTCACATTTGAAGCCAGGAGTTCAAATGCTCTCCATGGTGTTTTGGGGAGGTGGGGCGCCCGGGAGGAAGCCTGTGATTTCTCAAAGTGGGGGGTGGGGATAGCATCCTCAGGTCCCTTCTGTCTAGTGGGGCTCACCCTGGATCTCTTTGCCTGCCTCTGATTTCAGCCAGAGATGAGCACCCCCGGGGGGGCTGTGACCAACCGTGGACGGCGCTTCAAATGGGCCATTGAGCTGAGCGGCCCGGGCAGCGGCAGCAGGTAAGGGCCTCTGTGGAGGTCAGTCCCCGGACTCCCTGAGACGACAGACCTTGGGCACGGCTGCAGCTCTCTTCTCTTCTTTTGCCAGGGGCCGGAGCGACCGGGGCGGTGGGCAAGGGGATACCATGTATCCCGTCGGCTACTCAGACAAGCAGGTGCCGGACACGAGCGTGCAAGAGACAGACCGTATCCTGGTGGAAAAGGTACAGCAGGGGTGGCGGGGCCGGGCTGGGGAAGGGGTTCCTTGGTGTACTCTCAGGGAGAGAACCGCCAGGAATCTCCTCCAAGGGGGGGGGGAGTGTTCAGGAAAGCGAGACGTAAACTGGGAGCTCTCGATGGCGTCGTGGTGGATCCAGCCCTTCTCTCCTCTCTCCCACCTTTTCAGCGCTGCTGGGACATCGCCCTGGGCCCCTTGAAGCAGATCCCCATGAATTTGTTCATCATGTACATGGCCGGCAACACAATCTCCATCTTCCCCACCATGATGGTCTGCATGATGGCGTGGAGGCCCATCCAAGCACTCATGTCCATCTCGGCCAGTAAGTGTACCGCCACCTAAGAACACCTAAGTGTACTGCCACCTAATGTCCCTTCCTTGTTTAGAACGGATAAAAGGAAGTCCTTCTTCACCCAAAGAGGGATTCACACATGGGATTCACTGCCAGAGGAGGTGGCGGCGGCTACAGTTTGGTGTCGTGGTTAAGTGCGCGGACTCTAATCTGGGAGAACCGGGTTTGATTCCCCACTCCTCCACTTGCACCTGCTGATGTGACCTTGGGTCAGTCACAAGCTCTGGCACAGCTGTCCTTGAAAAAGAGCAGTTTGTGTCAGAGTTCTCTCAGCCCCACCCACCTCACAGGGTATCTGTTGTGGGGAGGGGAAGAGAAAGGAGTTTGTAAGCCGCTCTGAGACTCCAAGTGAAGGGCGGGGTATAAATCCAATCTCTTCTTCTTCTTCTACAAGCATGGACGGCTTCAAAAGGGGACTAGATAAGCATACGGAGCAGAGGTCCATCAGTGGCTATTAGCCACAAGGTATAGATAGGGACTCTGGGGCAAGGGATGCTCTGTCTTCTTGGTGCTTGGGGGGGGGTCAACAGTGGGAGGGCTTCTAATGTCCTGGCCCCACTGGTGGACCTCCTGATGGCACTGGTATTTCTGGCCACTGTGTGACACAGTGTTGGGCTGGATGGGCCTTTGGCCTGATCCAACATTGGCATCTCTTCTGTTCTTATCCCAGTAGTCCAGCATCCTTGGATCCTGAGCTCTTAACTTCTCTTCCGTCTCCCCTCCTTTTTCTCCCTTATGCCTTTCATCTCTGATGCTAGCGGAAAAGACCAGGCACACTCTGGGACTCTTGTAACGTACGTAGCTGCAGTTTGGAGTCTAGCTGCATAAGGCAGCCTCATTCAAACAAAAAGCCTAGTGAAATTGTCCCTGGACTGGAGCACAAGAGAGGGATGACATGGTTGGATACGTTCCCACGAAAGAAGAGGGGAGAAATTCGGTGCACACACGGAACCTCAATCAATCAATCAATCAATCAATCAATAGACCTTTAATGGCATATATACATACAGAACCTATCACTTTGTATTCCCGGTGTCTAGTTTTATAGAGAACATTGGCCTGCTCTTGGAGAGGAGTAGGCAAGCATACAATCCACCACCTGCAGTCTAAAATGGCCCAGTCTGGAAACAGTTCCCTCGTTTGCTATCCATGTGAACAAAGGGTGTGTTTTCAGGATGTCGTTGAGTGATGTCTTTGGGTGGGAGATGTTGCAGGGATGTACTGACAGCCGCTGGTGCTGTGTATCCGTTTCAACCTGGAACACTATTCCTGATTGGGACTCTCAGCGTCTGGGTTCTGTGCCAGGGCTGTCTCTACTGCCGAGGCCAACTTACCTGCAGAGCTTCACTTGGCCCTTGCAATTTTGCCACTTGTAACAGCGGATGAAGGAAAGGAGAGAGGCAGCGTGGTGGAGGGCTTAGAGTGTAGGATCACTCGGAGGCTTCAAGTCTGCTCCCTGCAGGGAGCCCACGGCCTCAAAATTAGTCGCTTGTTCTCAGTGGAACCTCCTTGGTCTCCCGTTAACTTTTTCCCAGTAGTAGTGAGCCTTTGCCTGAGCTCGTGTCATGCGGATTGGACTGTTAGTCGTGCCAGTCAGAAATTCCCGTTTGCAGCTGCACTTGGTGTCGTGGTTAAGTCTCTAATCTGGGAGAACTGGGTTTCATTCCCCACTCCTCCACTTAGACCTGCTGCTGTGACCTTGGGTCAGTCACAAGCTCTGGCACAGCTGTCCTTGAAAAAGAGCCGTTTGTGTCAGAGTTCTCTCAGCCCCACCCACCTCACAGGGTGTCTGTTGTGGGGAGGGGAAGGGAGAGGAGTTTGTAAGCCGGCTCTGAGACTCCAAGTGAAGGGCGGGGGTATAAATCCAATCTCTTCTTCTTCTTCCCCTGCACCCCAAACTGCTTCTTGTGGAGATGAAATGTACCCTCGTTTTCTGCAGATTTAACGTGTGCCTTGACATCCCAAAGAGGTGCCGAAACACACCTTCCGCTCCAAAGGGGCCGGCATAGGTCCTTCGTGGCTGCTGACCTCTTTTGTCCCCCTTCCCCCCCCCAGCCTTCAAGCTCCTGGAGAGCTCGAGCCAGAAGTTCCTGCAGGGCCTGGTGTATCTAATCGGCAACCTTCTTGGGTTGGCCTTGGCGGTGTACAAATGCCAGTCGATGGGGCTGCTGCCAACTCACGCCTCCGACTGGCTGGCTTTCATCGAGCCCCCCGAGGTGAGTGAGAGGAGAGTCTGGGGCCTGAAACGTTAGAGGGGTGCTGGTATTTTGACAGGTGAGGGGCATACCCCCCAAAGTCTGGTGCGGGGCTAGTTGGTGACTTAGGGACCAGTCTTCCTTGACCTTTTTCCTTTATGAAGAATCACTGCTAGCCCACACAGATGGTCAGCCGTGTCGGTCTGAAGCAGTAGACCAAATTTAGAGTCCAGCGGGGCACCTTGAAGACCAACAAAGGTCTATTCAAGGTAGGAGCTTTCGTGCGCAAGGCACACTTTTTCAAATCCTCCCCTCCCCCAAACGGCACCGCCTGCTCCCTTTGCTTGCCTTTTTGGTATTTGAAAAAAGTGTGCCTTGTGCACGAAAGTTCCTACCTTGAATAAACCTTTGTTGGTCTTAAAGGTGCCGCTGGACTCTAAATTTCTTCTGCTACCCTGTTTTCCCGAAAATAAGACAGTGTCTTATATTAATTTTTGCTCCCAAAGATGCGCTAGGTCTTATTTTCGGGGGATGTCTTATTTTTCCGTGAAGAATACGGTACACTCCATCAGGGCAGAGCGAGCAGCAGGCGGCAGGTTGTCCTGGCGGCGGTGTGGGCTCTCTGATTAAAAGAGACCTCACACTTCCTGTCTGCTCTGGCTATGCGGCGGCGCCCGCAGCTGCGGCCCAGAGTTACAGTAGCTTTGGGGGGCCTTATTATCGCGGCGGCCTTATGTTTGGGGGAGGCCTTATTGTCGGGGAGGTCTTATTTTCGGGGGATGTCTTACTTTCGGGGAAACAGGGTAGTAGACCATTTACCAGAGCAGTGATAATAAAGCAGACTGTTCTCTTTCTTGGCCCTTTCGGAGCCTGCTTGCAAAGATCTATTGCTTCGCCATGAAGATGCTTGTTCAGCTTTGTGGGTGATGCTCCCTTTTTCTCTTCCAGCGCATGGAATTCACTGGTGGGGGTCTAGTGTTATGACCCTAACAGGTCCATGAAGCCATCTGCTGCTGTAGGTGTCTGGATCACCACCACCGAGTACCGTTCTCCTTTCAACGCACTGATAGTGCTCACCAGCTCTGTTGAAGACCAGTTGTACAGACGGTTGCAGACACGAAAGACTTGTTTTTGCCTACGAGGGGGGTGGGGTGTCATCCGGCTGTTCATATCCTCCTCTCCCCCAAGCTGCACTGCTGCTCCCTTTGCCTGCCTCTTTTGTTGCAATCAGAATAAAGATTTCAATGGATTGGGAAGCGGACACAAATCCTGCTTTGGTTTTCTTACTTTACAAAATACTGAGATCGGTGTGGAGAAGAGCGAGGCTACCTACTCTGGCTGAAAGACCAACAGAAGGGAAGGTGGCTTTGGGGCCCTTGAAGGGGGTCTCCCGACCGTTCCCTTTTTATTAACGCCAGCAGAAGTTACTCAAAATAAGCACCCATATAGAATGGGGAGGTCACCGGGCTCTTTGCACTGCTTGGTTCCTTAACAGTTTGGCTGTTTTTTCAAGAGGGGGGGGCAATAAGCTGAATGAACAAGGTGGGTACTGAAAGGCACTGCATGCATACAGAAGGAGAAATGAACATGTTTGCACTGGTCTGTTGCTACAGTCATCCAGTGATCAACAATCCATGGAGTGCAGTAGGGATGGGCACGAACCAGCACAAAAATGAAAGTTCGTGATGAATTTTGGTGATGTCCACAAACAGAAGAGGTGCCACAAGCTTCTACAAATTTTAAGGCAGTTTGTGGCTGTTTGTGAAGAGCAGAAAGCAGGCCCCTGCTTTCTGTCCCCCACTGCTTTTCACAGGGAAACCCCTGCTTTGTGGTACTGGCAAAAAGTGGCAGGGAGCAGAAAGCTTGTTGCCACTTTTGGTGGGGACTAGAAAGCAGGGGGTCACAAACCAAAAGCAACCGGTTCGGTTCGTGAACCAATCTCCTGGTTTGTATTGGTTCATGGGTCGGTTCGTAGTACAGCCACAAACCATGAACTGAACTGCAAAAATGTAGTTCGTGCCCATCCCTAGAGTGCAGCAATAAGCTTATTGGGGCAAGCGTGTTTATTTTTTATTTTTTTTTACATTCCACACACATCACAGCTTATGAATCTGTTACAATGATGAAAAGAGCCAAGCTGTAGCATGGACGTGTGGGTTACAGGACGAGCAGATTGCTTGGAAACCTTGTGCGAGCAAACACACACACTCCCAAAACATAATATATATAAAAAGTTTATTCCTTACATAATTCAGGAAGCCAAAAAAAATAAAAAAAAATCACACCCTAAAACTTGATGCTATGTAAACAAGATCACATCCCCAATAAATTAAAAAGCCTCTCGCGACGTAAGAGATGAGAAACGGCCGTCTTGAGATTCCCTTTCGAAATGAAGCGGGAGGAGAGGCTGGAGACTCGTCCGTTTTAAGGCTACTCTGAGGAGAGAGTGGTCCCTGCGCACTTAACTGAGTCAGGGACGCGTGGAGAATTAGATAATCCGTCATTGCAAGTAGGGAGAATGACCACCATAGGATCGTGCTCCCCCCCACCCCAAGTTCAGGGGGGGGGGGGGAATACTGTTCTAAAAAAAGGATCTCTGTTCTAAAAAAGGATACCAATCTTCATTGTTTGGCATAGACAGCGTTCTCTCCGCCAGGAGAAGGGGTAGCAGCTCCAGAACACAAGACTGCAGCAGGAAGCAAGGGTCTCGCCCCAAAGCCGCTTTTGCTGCCCTGCCCGCGGACTGCAGCGCCTTCAGCTCGGTCCCGTACCAGAGCCGACCGGCCAACTGCAGAGCAACTGCAGGCCACAAGGAGGAAAACAAACGCCTGCCAGAGTCATCTGGGGAGGAAAGGGGAGGGTGGCGGCGGCATCCATTCCCCTATCGCTTTGCCACCGCCAGTCTGATCCAGAGGGCAAACGGTTCTCCCTCCTGCACAGCCAAGGAATTTGGGGTTGCAAAATGCCACGAGGGCCCGGAGGAGAGGATAAATACTGCACAAGCCTGTTTCTCCATCCTTCCAAGTGCCCCCCTCTCCCTCTGATGCCGAAGAAGGCAGAAAGGCTTTGGCACTGGCCGGAAGAAGGAAATGGCACCGCTGGGGTGGCACCACCCTCCCTGTGGGGCTCCTGCTACGGTCGCCTTTCGCACACGCCCCTTTCCCTTTCTGTTGTGGTACCCCCCCAAAGGTCTCCCAGTCCGTTCGCTTGTTCCGCATTGTCCTGGAAATATCACGTCGCTCAATTCTTGTCGTGGCCAGGGGAGGGCAGCAGGGATTCAAAGACGGGTGGAAAGGGGGCGGGTGGGAAATCCTGAAATTTTACCCCCCCCTTCCAAAAAACCCCCCAACCCACCAACGTTTGCCTTTCTGTGTCCTGCATGGAGGAGAGGGAGATGAAGCCCCATCTCGAGCTCTCCCCCTACCTCGGTCGAATCCATTTCCACTCCTGTTCTGCGCTTCTGTTCTTCCTAGCCAAGTCTCTCTTCCTTTAGGGACAGGGGAGGGGACGTCTCCAGGCTCCATTCTCCCCCAGCAGGGAAAACCAGCCAGCCCGGAGGAAGCGGCAGCAAGGGGTGGGGGGCACGGGCAGCTGCTCTCCCGGGGAGACAGAAGTGGCAGGTGGTGTGACAGGCAAGAAGCGGATGTTGGCTTGTCAGGAAGGTCCATCCGACAGGGACCCCCCCCCTTCCCGGCTCTCCCTACGAGTAGATGGTGATGACCTCGCTGCCGCCCCCGCGCACCAGCAGCACGCGCTCCAGCCCCTCCGTCAGGACCTCCAGGAACTCCATGTCTGCAGAGGGAGGGCCGTCAAGGAGCCTGCGCGGCACGGGGATGTCGTGCCCCCCTCACCACCTCCAATCCCTCCACGGCCCCACACAAGATCCCGCCCCCCCCCGAAAGGATACAGTTCTCATCTCCTTCCGGGTTACGGGGCGGGCCCGGCATGTTCAGCAGCACCAGCTTAGCCTCATGGGACTTGTTGACGATGACTTCGTTCAGCTTTACCGCCGTGTGCATGCGCCGCACGTTGGACTGATCCCTGAGGAGGGAAGGGGAGGGCAGCGTCGGGACCAGGGTTCCCTCTAAGCTGAGTGAGTGTGAGCTAGCTCACAGTTCTTTAGCCTCCAGCTCACACATTTTTGTCTTGGCTCAGGAAGGGATGACTCCAGAGCCAACTGATTTGTGCAGCGGTCAAGTCACCCGCTCACAACTGTAATGTCAGTAGCTCACCAAATAGAATTTTTGCTCACAAGACTCCACAGCTTAGAGGGAGCATTGATCGGGACCCGGCGTGGAATAAGCTGACTTGTGCACTTACGGCATGCTTTTTAAAAATCCTGCCTTTCCTCCACAGAGCTCGGGGCCTTGTGCACGGTCCCCCCTCCCCCCTGCCGCCATTATAACTTGACAGCAAACCCGCGAGGTAGGTCGGGCTGACTGGCCACCCAACACTGCAGGGGATGGTCTCGGTTAAGTGCTAGAGACTCCGCTGTCGGCGGTGGCACAGAGAGACCGCCATGACCCCAGGGCATGCTGGGAGCCAGGAATCTACACATGCAGTCCTTGGGGTGGATCCAGTGGTCGATTGCCACTAACGGGAGCAGGAGGGGGACTGTGGATGGATCGTCTCATTCCCCTGCGGACTCTGCCCTCGTGCCCCGGGGGTCGGGAAGCAGAGTTTTAAGGAGCTCTTGGGCCTGCAGGGAGATGGGAGAGGCGAGTATCCCATGCTGCTGACGGAAATCCCTCCCGCTGGATCCAACCCTTCGTGCCGAGGGGGTTCAAAATGCCAAGGAGCGCAGGTTTCAGCCGGGGTAGCCATGCTGATCAGCTGCTGTCAAAAGGCTGTTCTTTAAAGATTAACACATTTAGTTCGGGGGAAAGCTTTTTCCAGAATAAACGTGCTGGTCTTTAAGGGGCCACCAGGCTCTTTGTTACAGGCGAGGTAGGCAGGCATTCTGTCTAAACTGGAGGGGAACGTCTGGGGATGCCCCCCCCCCCGTCGCTGCCTATAAGGGGGACCAGGGCCTCTCTTACGGGC